TCAAAACCCTAATTTTGACCATTTTGCCCTTTTGATGATTTGATCAAATTTCTTGAGGAATTATGGTCCAAACTTGATAAATGATACATATGAGTTTATAATATTGATGTGTATAAAAAAATATGAAGTTTGACAGTAAATTGGCCATAGTTGACTTTTTCCCTAATACAATTGATTTTTAGGTCAATTGCTTAATTGACTGAGCAAAAGTGTGATCCAGTGTTTGAAACTTGACATGAGTAATCTTGGGGGTCCATAATGATCCATGAAAGTCATATGGAGCATTTAAAGTTCAATTATCCCTGTGAAATCTCAAACCATAATTTTGGTCTTCAGTGCTTAAGGAGGTGTCCTGAGCTGATCAACCCTAGTGCAGTCCTGAACCAAGAGAGATCTTTGTGAGAAAATATTTGATAAATGAGATGAAAATTTTGGGGTACAACACACTAATTCCAAAAGAAAAGTGCAAACATCCATGAAAGATTGAAGACTGATTGCACTTTGTAGCATTCAATGCAAAGTGATAACTAAAGTTTTTGTGAATCGTCTAAAGAAAGTTCTTGATAAATGAATCTTTGATAATAATCAAATTTTGTTCCTAGGAGATATATCATTGATAATACTATGGCAGCTATTAAGGTGGTTCACTATATGAAGTCAAAAACGAAAGAAAAAATGATGATGTGGCTCTTAAACTTCATATCACTAAAGCTTATGAAAAAATCAATTGGGAAGGATATTCTCATCACTATGAGGTTCAGTTATAAGTGGATAGTTTAAATCATGCTATGCATGAAAATAATAGACTTTTTTTGGTGATTATGAGCGACAATATTGTAGGACAGATTATTCCGAGATGTAGGTTGAGGCAAGGTGATTCGTTGTCTCCTTATTTATTTATTCTCTGCTCCGAAGGCCTTTCATCACCTATTAAGCAAGCCAAAGCTAGAGGTGATATTCACGAAATAAAAATGTATAAAAATGCTCCAATCATATCTCATTTTCTTTTTGCTGATGACTATTTTATTTTTCTTTAAAGCTGTTGTTAATAAAACAAATGTGTTGAAAAATATTCTTATTACTTATGACGAAGCTTTGGGTAAAGCCATTAATTTTTAAAATCTGAATTTTTCTATAGTAGAAATGTTTCTCCTAATGCTAATAACACAAGGACTAATATTTTAGGGGATCAATAAGTTTTGGGTACAGACAAGTATTTCAGACTACCATTCTTGATTGATAAAAGTAGAAAAGCAAATTTCAAATTTATAAAAGACAAGTTGGAAATGGATTAACTTATAGAGTACTAAGTGTCTATCTCAAGTAGGGAATGAGACACTTATCAAGTCAACTCTTCAATAAATTCAGGCATATGTAATGGGTGTTTTTTTGTTGCTGACCTACTTTAGTGATGAAATTGAGAAAATGACAAACTTTGTTTGGTGGGGGCATAATCGAGATCAGACTAAGGGCATACATTGGATCTCTTGAAACCGTTTGTCTATGCATGAGAATGACAAATGTATGAGGTTAAAAAATCTAAGTGCTTTTAATTATGCTATGCCTGGTAAACAAGGTTGAAGTTTTATGTGAAATCCAAATAATTTAGTCACTCATCTTTACAAGGCTAAATATTTTTTTAAGTGTGATTTCCTTAGTTCGACCATTGGGCAAAACCCTGGTTATACGTGGTAGAGTATCTAGAGTTTAAAATTTATGGTGCAAGGTGGGCACAAGTGGATTCTTGGGTCGGGAGAAAGTATCCAAATTTTGGGCCAAAATTGTTTAATGGTAGCACATAGTTGGATAATATTTGGTCGGACAACCCAATAATGGATAATCTAAAAGTTTCGAATATGTTGATTAGTAATTCTAAATTGTATAACTCAAACTTGATTCATATTCTAGTCTGGGGCGGAGAAGCGACGAAGGTTCTCAATACTCCTTTATTTGAAGTTGTTCATATGGATAAGCTAGTGTGAAAGTTTGAAAAGAATGAGATGTGTTTAGTGCATAATGCTTATTATTACTGTATATAAGATGCTATTAATACTTCACATCTAAGGATTGGTGAAAAGTGATAGTTTCTTTGAAAAATTAAGACCCGTTCGGGGGTTAATTTTTTTTGTGGCGTTTATGTAGGAATTGCGTGCCAACTAAAATACGTTCAATAAACAAAGGTGTTCAATGTCCTGTTTATTGTGGTGTATGTGGAGAAATATTTGTAGATTTTAATTATCTATTTTTACATTACTCAAAAAGTATTGAGTGCTGGTAGAAAGTGAAAATTTAGTCCATGTTGTAGCAACTATTGAATGATAATGTCTCTTTTGCTACAATAGTTTTTATTTTTTGTTTTTACAGGTCTTCAATCTAGATCAACAAGCAGTGTTCTCGACCGTTTTATAGAGTATATGGAAGAATATGAACAATCAAATCTGGAACTACATAGAAGACTCTCTAGTCACTATTTTTAATTGTGCTTTTTATTTGTTATTAGGATGGAGGAATGACCAACAATTTTAGTCGAGCAATATCACCCAGGATTTAAGATCTACAAACATTATTTGGACCAAACCTTCAACTGAACGTCTCAAATGCAACACTGACACGTCTTTCTCTAATTCTTGTAATAAGGAAGAATAAATGATTTTCATCTATTACTGAAGTTGATATAGAGAAAAATTTAGACCTTGTGTCATTTATCAAATTGACACATCATCTTGGTTTTGATGGGGTGGATTTTAAGATGGATACTAAAAGCATAATGAAAAATATGAATAAACAATAATTAAAAGTTTCAGATTTCAATACTATTACTTACAAACGTAAACACTTATTAATCTTTTACTACACATTGTTCATACTTTAACACGAATTTCATTGATTTACTATGTATTGATAACTTCATTTGAGACAAATGTTTCAAAAAAATTATGTGTGAATTTTAAATGGTGTATTTATCTCTTCATATAAGATCAAAAGAAAAATAATCCACAAAGCTTACGAGGCCATTCTTCAAAACCAAATGCGCAAAAAGTCGTGACCCGAATGTTATGCAACGACGCCGTATAAGTCAAAAATCCACAATTTTTCCAAGGGCTTATTCTCGTATCTAACCTGGGTTTCTCGCTCCATCTTACGCGACTCCAATACCCTCTCTCTCCCCTTCCTTCCAAATTCTCACAAGGTTCGTCCTTTTCTCCAATCTCTTCAATCCATCAATTGCCAATTAGGGTTACCTCTATACCATATGTTTACCCTATTTTCTCTCTATGATTTTTTGTTTCTTGTACAAAATTTAATTTCACATGTTTATATATATTTTTTTAGGTTTTTTTTCTCCTCTTCCGCATATTGTGTTGTTATATAGCTTGTTTCATTCTCTAAATGCTAGCTTTTTCAGAATATCAACATAGTTTTAATTGTAATTGTAATTGTTGTGACTTGTGTTGTGATTGTGTATGTGTTTCCCTTTTTCAGTTAACTTGAAATGGGATCAAGACACCGTGTTCACAGAGAGCCGATGAATCCTCGTAGAGGGTATCCGCAGGAAACTCCTTACGCTCGCGGCCCCGCTATGCAACGACCACATCTTCCTCCTCATCCGGCATTGTTAGAGGAAGAGCTTGAAGTGCAGCATGCTGAAATGAGGAGGATAGTAGCAGATAACAGGAGGCTGATTGACGAGCGGATTGCTTTGCAGCGTGATCTTGCAGCTGCGAAGGAAGAGCTCCATCACATGAATCTTGCGATTGGTGATATTCGCACTGAGCATGAGATGCATTCGAGGGAGCTTGTTGATAAAAGCATGAAGTTGGAGTCTGACCTTAGGGCGAATGAGCCGTTGAAGAATGAAGTTATACAGCTACGAGCTGAAGTTCAGAAGCTTAGTAGTATCAAACAGGATCTTTCTGGGAAGGTTCAGACACTCACGAAAGATGTTGCTAGGTTGCAGAATGATAATCAACAAATTCCTTCGATGCGGGCTGAGATTGATGGCTTGCACCAAGATCTGATGCGTGCTAGGTTTGTGGATTTGTTTTCTATCTTTAAGACCTATTTTGATTGGTATTTCTGCATTTGTTTTCTTAAACTGATGATAATTTCATTTTTGTTTTCTAGGACAATGGTGGATTATGAAAAGAAGGCAAACATGGAGTTCATGGAACAGAGGCAGTCAATGGAAAAAAACATGGTTTCCATGGCCCGAGAAGTTGAGAAACTTCGTGCTGAGCTTGCTAGCATGGACGGAAGACGTTGGGGAGCTGGTATGACTTTGTTATATTTTCCTTTGCAAAATTTATTCTTCTTCTATCGCTAATTCAACATGTGTTTATTAGCAATACGAGTTGTGACTTGTAAAAATAATTGTAATTGTCTGATCTAATGAAATCAACATGAATAATTGGAGAGTCATTTAATTATTAAAAAGACACTAAAAACGGTAAGAACAATATTTTTTTAAATATTTGAAAGCCCTTCATAATTGTCTGAAATATGGTTGTGGGGTGTCAGTAATCGCATTGGCTTAATGCACATAAAATGACGGTTTTTTTAGAATGTAAGATACATATCTACATATACAGGTAAGGCAATATATATTGTGTTACATAAAAATGTTATATCTATTTTTAATACGTTAAAAAATGTACTCAATTTTTTCTATTTTTAATCACCTCAACTCCCACGCTTTCTCTAACTCGTCTATGTGATGATTTTGAGAAAGGCAAAATTATAGTATTCTTCACGGGAGGTAATTGGTGATAACATGATGATAGGAATGGATCTCACCCCACAAGTTATGATGGGGATTACTAATATTTTATTAATGAATATGAAAACAGAAAGTTCCAGAGCTACTGCTCCTCAGTCAAAGAAAACAATTCTCTCACTGCCCAAACCCTAATATGAAAAACGGAAAAAAATAAATAATCCTAGTTACTGCCCCATATACTGCTATTTATATGGGGATTACTAATACTGGGCTAATTACCCAATTACTTCCTTTTCTTATTCTTTTTCACATATACCCTCCACTGTTTAGGCCCCACATTGTCCCTGTTAACTAACACACCCCCATCATCACTTGTGGGGTCCGATTCATTTCTATCATCACCACCACCTGCAACATTAGGCTTGTCCTCAAGGCGCAAATCAGGGAATTGACTTTTCAACAACAGTTCCTCTTCCCAAGTAGCATCTCCAACATCCAATCTCTCCTTCATCGTTGACAATTTCATCATCCCCCAAGATAATCAATTGTAACTGTTTTGTTGCACATTGATGGAGAGGATCCCATCGTTCGTTGCAACGAAAACAAAGTCCTTTCGCACGACGCTCATTAACCTCTGCACTTGGTAGATGGCGAACACCACAAGATTGACGGCGCGAATTGTCTCCTAAATTTGGGCGAGAAGATGCTGTAGAATTGGTAGGGCGTGTTGACCCGGTTTGAGATCCAGAACCCAGAACCAGTACGCGTTTTGCCCAAATAGTTATTAGTCTGTGTCTGAATTGCAGATCTGTTACCTTCCCCTTCGCGAAAAGCCCAATTAGGTTTTTGAGATTTTGCCCAAGAGCCATGACCCGGTTTGTAACGTGATCCAGAATCCTGACCAGCAGCCACTGCAAATTGACATTCAACATCACGAGCCAATTGCATTGCTAGGTAACGGTTACAAGGCTTGATAGTACGCACACGAGAGTGAATATCTTGACGTAAACCACCAATGAAATAACCAAGAAACTGTTGCTCTTGCAAACGACCACACTGAGGAATACAATTTGAATTCAGCAATGTATTCCTCTACTGATCCTGATTGTTTTAGTTCCTTCAATTCCTCAAAAGGATTCTCCAAACGCCCACCTCCAAATCGAACAATCATCGCCTAACAGAGGTTCTCCTATGACAGTTCCTCTGTTGAATCATGCCATAGGTTAAACCAATGGATAGTAGGGCCTTCCATGCTCAATTTCATCAACTGAATACGAACATCCTGCGAAATTCGTTGTACTTCAAAGTATGTCTCAGCACGAGTCATCCACGCCACCGGATCGTCGCTGGTAAATGCCGGCAACTCCACCTTTTTCGCAGACAAACGAAACTCATACAACGGTGAGGTAACCGTTGTACCACTTGACTGAGGTGATTCACGATTCATCATCGCACGTTGAATCTCTGCCGCAATGAAAGTACGCAAATCCTCAATACTGGTTTACACACGTCTCAGGCGTTCCTCAACTGCGGTAATTCTCTCTGCCATTCTGGTTTGCATGAACAAGGCAGGTCGGACCAATTGATAGAACTGAGATAAGATATAATATAATGGAGAAAATCATTTTATTAATGAATATGAAAACAGAAAGTTCCAGAGCTACTGCTCCTCAGTCAGAGAAAACAATTCTCTCACTGCCCAAACCCTAATATGAAAAACGGCAAAAAATAATAATCCTAGTTACTGCCCCATATATTCCTATTTATATGGGGATTACTAATACTGGGCCAATTACCCAATTACTTCCCTTTCTTATTCTTTCTCACATATACCCTCCACTATTTAGGCCCCACATTATCCCTGTTAACTAACACATCCCCATCATCACTTGTGGGGTCCGATTCATTCCTATCACATGACTTGTATCCTTATCTTTCAATTTTTTTACTGGCAGTATTGAGGGTGGTGGTTCCCACTAGGTGTATTTGTAGGCATATGTCAGAAATGTGGATACTGCATCATCCTATTGTTAGTGTGGATACTCATATGATACATACACATCATCCTGCTTCGAGTATCTGTGCTTCAGTGACCGAGGACTAAAATCATTAATCATATAATTTCAATTTACTGAGATATTATTCTTGTTCTGTTGTCCTCTTTTTTCATGTTTTCTTCTTTCCTGAAGGTGTGCCTTACGGAACAAATTTTGGTAGCCCAGAGGGGGGTTTCCCACCTCCATATGCAGATGGATATGGTGTTCACATGGTAATTGCCTTCCTCAACATAATAATTTTCTACTTTAGAGTTCAATTATCCAAGGTTTTATTTACTTTGCTTCTGGTTCTATTTAGTCTGCTGCAGAGAAAGGTCCCCTTTATGGGGTGGGTACTGCTTCAAGGAAAGCACATGAGAAGCCTCGCACAACTCGTCGTTGAATGCAAGTGATTGATGTTGGTGATGAAGAAAGGCCTGCCATCCCTTTGGCTGTGTTAGCAGAGTAGCGGATTGATGTCCTTCTGTGTATGCATACCATGTTAATGGTCTCTTATTTGCTGTTCTAAGTATAATATTAATTCTAAACTGGCATATGTAGGTTTTACTCCTGCTTTACCGTTTTTAACTTGGAGAAAACATTGCTGCGGTATATTTAAGTTTAAAACTTAGTGTGTTGGAATTCTTCAATTTATTTATCTTCCATTGATAATATTTCATATTTAATATTGCTATTGTTGTGCTTTTTGTCTGGTTATTGTTGTTATTTTTTCTTCTGGGTTAAAGCATGTTTTCTGTTGTTCACGGACTGGATCTCAGCGTTGCAACCTTGAGGTTTTGTAGCTCCCATGTGTTGAGTCATGTGAGCTGAAGTTCAGTATATGACGGGTTTGGCAATATTAGAAGTCTCAACACAGTTTCATGGGTTGTTAAACGAGTGGTGTTGTGCACTACGTTTTATGCCAAGGATTGAGAGTGTGATTTTGGAATTAGTCTTACACAGTGGATACTTGTTACTATCGCAGGAGTCACCACATGTGGAGGAATTTGACGCATAATTAATCATGTTATGCTTTCGTATTTACTACAGTGAGTGGAATGAGAAGTTTCATTTCTCCTGATATTAGATTCTGTTTCTTGTAGGGTAGAATATTAGATTGTAGTTTCCATTTGTTTGTACGATTGGGTTAAAGTTTCCCATGAATGCTGGTCATATCTGTGGCCTACTTCACCTGGCAATATCCAGATTAGTTGTGCAACTGGTAAAGGAAGCTGCCTTGCACACATTATTAGGAATAAAAATTTGTGAGTAAGCTGTGTTGCTAATGATTTCTGGGTTGTATGGAAATATAGGGTGCCAATACTCATTTCGTGGGCATGAGGTTGCAGGCTCCAACGATGAGTGAATTTTATGTTGTTTTGATATGCCAGAAAAGGTGCTTATATTGGAATTGTCTGTACTCACACTTGGAGTCAACGTACATACCTGCAAAAGACGTATAAGATTGGGAATATTCAAGCATTCTTTGCTCCTTATTTTGGATGGTAAACTTCTGTTTGCTGGTGTGGAGGGGGGCTGGTTATAGTGGGCTACCTCTGTTTGAAGTAGTGTTATTGATGGCACATTTGCATTGTAAGTTGTAACAATGCAGACGCTTGTATTTTCCAATTGAGCTACTCTGGCATTCTAATATGTTCATTGATTGGAGAAAACCGCAATCATAACCATGTCAAACGTGGATGGAGTGATACAACTTCAGATTGATTTTGGTCAACTCTGTTTAGTTTTGCTCTTAAAAGCTTAAAATTGTTTGGTTAGACTCCGGATGCTGTAATTGGTATTTGCTATACTGAGATTGAAGTCAGTTACAAACACAAGATGGGAGTTTTATATTTTCCCCAACGAGATGGCATTGCTATAGGTTTTCTACTGCTCTTCCAAACAATTTACTTGAAATGAACCAGAAATTGGTCAATCTGAAGATAGATTAGTATTCGAGACTTGAGAGTTATCCTACCCCCATTTGCCTAACAATTGGATTTAAGAGGGGGAGGGGGTTATGAGTACCACCCTTTTTAAGCTTCAACAAGACAAGTAAAGGAACAACTTTCTGGACTCTGGTCGCATTGGTTTCATAACACACAGTTTCTCGTTTTATATAGTGGTTGAGTTGTGGTCAAGGTCCTCTATGATGCAAGATCGTCCATATCTTCTCTGCAAAATTTTGATGGTATCTACTGCTCTTTGCTGGCGTGGAGGGTGGCTGGTGTAAGTGTGCTGCCTTTGTATTGAAGTGACGTTACTGATGGCGCATTGCATTGTAAGTTGTAACTGCTTAGGGAGTTGTAATTTCCAATACTGAGAAGTCAGTTACAAATTAGGATTGTACATGAAAAGATTCTTTGGTGAAAGTGTTATATTTTCCCCAGCTAGATGGAAGCGCTATAGGTCTTCTTTTACCCCTGCACACAATAGGATTTAAGGGGGATGTTATGATTTTGTACCCTTTTAAAGCTTGAAAGAGAGAAATAGAGAAACAACTGTCTGGTGGTATTGTTTATCATGCCACCATTAACTTTCCTGTTCTTTATGTTGGTTGAGGTGTTGAATTATTATTGGACAATGTCCTCATGGATGAAGGATCGTCCTAGAAATCTGCCCAACACTAGAAGTTTTGGTTGAACCCATTTTGACCTTGGAGATAAATAGTTGTCTGGTAGTGTTGTTTCTCGTCCGATCACCGCAGTTCTCTATGTTGATTAAAATGCCAAAATCTCTCTGGTCAAGCTCGTGGATGATATGCAAGATACTCCTATGTTGCTGGTATCACTGTGGAATATCTAAGGAGTAGGCTGGAGCCTGCGGAATGTTTGAAGACCAGCTGTTGCTTTGAAGCTCATAGGCAAGTATTTTGCTTCTCTTTTATCAGTGTCAATGATTTAACCTTGTAGAACTTGCTATTTACCCTGCTGATTACCTTCATGTAAGGTTTAGTTTGCTGCTTAATACAAAATTTAATTGTTGCACCCCTAAATTAGGATAAATGGTTAGACTTAGATGATCTTTAGATTTAGTTACTAGTGTACCAGAAATTTCAGCATAATAGTCAGGATTTTAAAATCTTCATTCATCTGAAGTAATAGTGGTAGTAGTACATGTTGCTGTCAATGCATCCTATTAAGAATCTCAAGAACTAGCGATCTTCTAGAGGCTAAAGTGATTTGATGGCTATTTGGTGCTGTCCGGAGTTGTAGGGTGGAATAACTTCACTTCCATGTTGTTCTTATAGGTCTCAGTTGTTACTGGGCTTGTAATACGAGCAAAGGAAAGTTAGCTTGATTTATATATGTAACAAATCAGGTCAGGATTCAAATCATGCAGTATTGTTAATTGACTCTCAATTGCTGGACAACTCAGTTAAATTGGATGCATTTGTAGCTAAAGTTAAATGCTTGCGTCTTATAAGTTGAAGCTGTATCCAGTGTTGGGTTAAGTATACTGCTGCTATTGCTACTTTTCTCTACGGGGATTCACATATTGCAGAATTTGGAATTGTAGAAACTCCCTTGTTGAAGGGCATAAAAAGCTAGGGGCTAGTATATTTAGGCTATGATCTCGTTATTAGTTGTTACTTCCGACTTGAGCATGCATTTTATAGCTTGGAAAAAGCAGTCTCTTGGATAAACTTGATTATGAAATTACCGTGGAAAAGATGAACCACCAGTTTCCCTAGTAAGGTAAAGGTCTTGGGTACCTATAAAGAAACCCCCATTAAGGCTAGGTCGGAAAATACCGATTTTCATTTCTTTTTAGCTAGTACTTAGGCAATTAATCTCGTAAATCTTGAGGTTGCTAATGGACTTCATTAGGCTGGTGTAAGCTAGCAGTCTGGTATCCTGCGTATCTAGTACTCTTTTGAAGAGGATTTGTTCACTTGCTATATAAATAGTCATTTTATTTTGTTTGGATACTGATATCAGTATACAATTTAGCATTAAGATTTATGTTCTGTCATCTCTTAAGATTTATGCTGAATTTTATCTGCATATTCAAGTTACTTACCATTTTATTCTTAACTAATCCTGTATTTTTTATGATTGCAGATGAAAAGCTGGAAATCCTGTTTGGGAGTGAAAAGTAAGGATAAATCCCCACAAGCATCTTTTGACTGTAAGACGAAAGATGTTGCAGAATAGCTGGAGGCTATTTCATAATGAAAATTCAGATGAAGCTTACCGTGAGCTGAAAGCAGGTAGGTTGCTGGTGGTGGTAGTATGCATTTTATCTGGCTGTGCTGGTGGTGGTAGTATGCATTTTATCTGGCTGTGCTGGATCGAGATAACCCATTACCCTGCCTTTGTTGAGGTTTGAACCTTTAGTTGAGATTGGAATGAAAGTTTTGAGACTATGTTTGGGAGAGCCAAGTCAGTAGCCTTTCATTTATGCAGGACTGCCCTTCCCAGAATGCCATGATTAGTAAAGAGTCCAGCTAAAATAAACACACTGGGTTTTTGTGTTTCTTTCGGTTTCATTGATAACAGAAGAGCCCGACTCTACAGGATTAAGTTGTTAGGAAAAATGAAGGAAGAATAGTCCCGCTTTAAGATTAATAATACAAAATTCACTTAACATGAGGGAATTCAAAAAAATACATTAGAGGATAATTTTTACTACTATTTCTTCAAATCATTTCATATCTCTAATAAAATTAAAGATATATCAATCACGTACATTCACTAAAAAAACACTGAAAATTTGTAGAAGATTTATCTTTATTTCCTTCTCTTCCAAACACCCAAACAGTATCATGAATTGACTTGATGTTCTGTATGTTATTTCATGTGTGTGTGAATGAAAGGATGCCTCAGTAAGATTATCGACTTTTTTTCTAGTACAGATATCCATATTTTCTTGGCTTGGGTTCTTCCTCCTTGTCACCTACCTATTTACCTTCATTTTGGTTGATCAGAAGAGTTTCTCAGACAGTTTTAAATGTTATTTACTACCATGCTTCAGGGTTTTTGTCTTCAGTTGATTTTACTTTGGTTACTTTTGATCGTGTCATTTGGTTTATGTGATTTAATTTAAGTTTTCACTAGATACTCGATATTTATTACACAAGTGTGTAGGAAATGCTCCTACTGATAGGGGCCATTTGGATATAAGAGGACGACGAATAACTTTTAACCATTTAGTCATATTGGTCAAATTTACAGTGATTCATAAAGGAAGGCCATATTACCTTTCTTTTTAACCTTTTAATTGCTTGTGGTCAGATTCAAAGCTTAAGATTTTCAATTCTCACTCATTGAGTGGACTAGTTTGTAATTTTTTTATTGAATTCTTGTGTATACATTAAAAAGTCAGACTCTGTTATATACACAAGGGAGTGTAAACAATTCTTTTCAGTTAAACTGGCTGTGCCTATCAAACTTATAGGACTCAATCCTTTCAGCTTGATTAAAAATCAATCCTTTCAGCTTGATTAAAAATAATACTTTTTTACTCACACAAGACAACAAACTCTATATAGGCTTCTTGGATTGTTGTGCTCTCGCTAATTTTTCTGTATTTTATCTGCTGTCGACACGTATGTGATAACCACAACAGTTATAAAAGAATGGTCAGTAATTTTATGTGCCATAATTTCCATGGCTAAGTAGTAATGACAGAGGGTAATAACTTTGATCTTCTCCCTTTCACTGGAGAGTTTGTATCAGGAAAATGTTCTTCACCATTATTAAAGTCCTCCACATATCCATCTTTTGTCACTACCACTGGGTAAGTTACAAGATGCACGCCTTCCATGTCCACTATTTCTTCACTACTATAGATTTTCCACATTTTATCTCCTATTGAACACATTCTCTGCACACATTCTAAACTTTCTGGCTTTAAAAACAAGTCCTCAGCTCTCCCTGTGTGCTCATACCACATTGACATTCTGTATGCATGAATATCACCTCTGGTCATGTGGTGATCAACTCCTTGAGATTGATAGCCTCCAATTGCAATCTCTGTGTCTCTTTGCCCGTCCATCGATCTTTGGTTCACATTTGCCGATCCTATTAATATGTATAGGTCATCCACTGGCGACAAGGGCAACAAAAATGAAACCAATTTCGCAAACTTAGTGAGAATCAAAATTGCAATTAAGCCAACATATATTTATGATGTATTCTTACCTATCATAAGCTTGGAGTGAACATAGACCATGAATCTTCTATTTTTCTGTGCATTCCAATATTCAGTTTCAGGATGAGGAGAATGTGGAGGAATATATTCTTCATTTTCCTTCTTTTCCCTATTTGCAAGGCAAAAGAAATTCAAATAATCTCTTGGATGTCTTGGCTCACCACTTTCTATAATTGCTTCTCCAATTAACTTATACATCATTGTCATTGTTTCTCTTGTCCAATGCAGTATATCTTGAACTGGTTCACTCTCAGGCCCTCCTTCTGGCCACATTGGTATGACTATATACACTGCAAATCTTTGTCTTGCTTTAATCTTGTTGACTACCTTGAGTGCAATCTCAATAGGTATCAAATTTCTGCAGCCACTGTTTCTATCTTTCTGCCACAAATGGCATCCTCCAATGAAGTATTGGTTTTCAATGTACACAAACCTGTCGGCGCGCCTAATTGCTTCGACGTAAGCTTCATGGATGCTAGTCTCAACTGTTAGTTTTCGAAACAGTTGGCTAGCCGAGACATGGTCGATCGACCGATATACTTGTACTTTCCAATTTCTTTCGATGGAAGTGCTAGTTGGGGAAATAGGAATGAGATTTTGTAAGGTGTTTGCAGGGACTAGAAGCGATGAATCACATTGTTTTGTCCATCTTTGTTCAAAATTGGTTAGAACATCCCAAGCCGCCTCACCGGTAACACAAGCATGAGCATCATGCCAAGGCTCTCTTGGACCTCCTTTCTTAAGGCTTGCTCCTGCGATGCTTGTTTGGTAGAAATCATGGTAATGTGATTCCTTTGTAAGTGTTTGAAACAATGAATGCTTCTCAGTATCATATCGTCCGTCGCACAAATCTAAACCGCCTAAAAAACTCATAATTTCTCTATCATTGACAGAGTTAGGCGCTTTCGTATCCACAGTTACGGTTTTCTGATGATGAGCAAAAATTGTTGGGAATTTATGATGTAATCTAGGACACTTTCTGCATACTACTTTTGTATGTTTAAAATAAGCAAATGCATCCTCATCATGTGTGTTCATCACACCTTTGTTCTTGATAAGTGGCAATGATGTCTCATCATCCCAAATCATAATCCTTACAGCAATTCCTTCATCTGCTTTCTTCTTCAACAAGTCACCTAACTTTATTTCTCTAGCATGTGGGATTTCTGTCTGAGGATCTCTAACCTGCAAAACAGCACAAGGACTATTAACGGTTTGGATAACGAAGGAAAACTGAGCCGAACTAAACCGTTCCAGTAGAATACGCAATGAGATTATATATGTACCAAAACCATTTTTGGATTGAAAGACCATCCTGCAATATAAACTAAATACTTTGCACCCTCAATAGCTTTATAAACATCTTCCCATAGCAGTCTTGGAACTCCACAAATATCTAAAGGAGGTTGAAAAGTAGGTGAATGATGAGCATCATGATAGAGCTTAACATGACAATTAGACCTTTGTGAGAATGTAGCATCCCTTAGCCCTTGAAACTCTTCACTACTTAGTAGCTTTGACCAACTTGATTCCAAATTTGCTGGCTTGAACCATAATATAAACCTTAGTTTTAGTTCTTGATTTGGTTTACCATTTTCCATGAGGAGAGGGAATAATCCATCAATCAAACTCTCTTGCTTCAACTGTTGTGCCTTGATGTGAAATTTTCCTAATATAGAACATGATGTTTTCAGTGTAATGGTGATGGTTGAATCAGATAGATGAGCACAATGAATCTGAAATGTTTGGTTCCAAATACGTTCACTTTCTTGTGTTGTTTTTGCCACTTTCTTGTTGTCTATCTTGATTATCACATATGCAGGCTTTCCATTTATGCATAAACACTGGAAAAAGAGAAATTTGATACATAAATTTTGAGTTACAACAAAATATTGACAAAATATAGTTTAAATACTAATCATACCAGACATATTTGCCTAACCAAAAAATATTTAGTTCTTATATATTAATAAAATGCTGTGTTTTTACTTTTTAGTCCTTCACCAGTCATTAGGACCAAACATAAAATAAAAAGTTACATGCATAACTACATGGAGATAAAAATTAAGGATCAAATATGTCAATATTAATATAGATGATAATAACATATTTATTCCTATAGTTTATTATAACTCACGTTGAAAGGAAATGAAGGAGAGTAAGGAGTTGCATTGAAAATTGTAGCTTCAATTGTTCCATGGATGAGGTCCATTGCAATATCCTTCAAATATTCCACACAAGAAGATGAGAGAAAGAGACAGAAATAATCAACTTGGTTTGACCTTTGTGTAGGGATCCTTAATTACTCATGTCACCACTATTACATGTGATCACATATATGAGTACATACATAAAGGTTGTAAGGTTGGTGTTTTAATGTAAAAGCAAAGGGAATCTTAAAATGCAAGAGAAATGTTTGGGAAAACTTGTGGGATTATTCAGTGTTTGATGTTAACTGTTAAGTCACACAGTTCAACCCTTCACGGCTATCCTATTTACACGTTTTTGCTTCAAGCACATTTTGCCGTGCTAGATCTGCTTAGAAAAATATTATGAATTTCAGCTAGGAAAAAAATCAAACACTTTTCAGTCAAATTGTTTTTTTTTAAAGATTCACTTCATGGAGGTAATCTGGCATTGGGGAGCACTAAATGGGAAAATATAGAAAACCAAATCGGAAAAAAATAATTTAATATTTTAATAATATTATATATTAAAATCTGAAAAAGAGAATAGGTTGAAGAATGAGCGGAGCCAGACTAAAACTTTTAGAATGACTGTTAAAATAAATTATAAATAATTATAAAAGTTTTATATATAAAAAATTTAAATTTTAATTAAATTTAATAAAATATTAATAAAATATAATTATATATTCGCAACTATCGTGATAAAAACATTTATTTCTTGTTTATTGTTAAGCAATTCATTAAGATAACAATTCTCAAGAATAAAAATACATAATTTTAACACTAAAATAAATATTTTAAAATTATAGAATGTATATTTTTAATATTCGAATAGAATTTTGAAATTAAAAATATATCAAAAAAATGAAATAAAACTTATTAAACATATAGGATAATGAGAGTTCAAATATAATATAGAGATATGATAGAGACTAATATAAGTGTATATGGTGATGAATGTATTAGATATAATCGTGACACTATTAAAATGTTGATATTTTTAAATAGAAATTTGGAATAAAATAAAATTCGTCTTAAATGACATTAAATTTTTAAGATAGATTTCAAATATGTAGAGATTTTGAGACGGATTTGAGACTAATTATATAATTATTGTTTTTTTACTATATTTTATAAATTTTATTTCAAATTCATGTGATATATTGAGACGAGTTTGAGAGCAATTTCAATTATAGAGACTTTTAGGATAGATTTTAAAAATAAATACATAATTGTTAATTATTTTATTTTATTTTTTTGAAAATTGAATCTCAAATTTGTGTTACCAAGACGGATTTTAAAAAGAATTTTATTGTGTATATAGACTTTGAGATGAGTTTTAGATATAATTTAAAATTGTTGTTTATTTTATTATTTTTAATATTTCGTCTTAAATTTGTGTAGAATATTAAGCCAAATTTGAGACAAAATTACGAAGAGTCTTTAAAATGACAATTCACAAAATACTTATTTATTTTATTTGTTTTTATGAAAATTATGTCTCAAGCCCTTGTCAAATATTTAGATGAATTTGAGACTAATATTAACTTTATAAATAATCATTGAGATGGATTTTAAATATAATATATAATAATTATTATTATTTCTAATAGTTTTGCTTAAAAAAATAACATAAATTAATTAAGAATATCAATAATAAATTAAATAATAAATTTAGTAATAATTAAGAATGATGATAATAATTAGTTAAATTTTTATATGTGAAGTGAAGTGGTAGCTTATAGAGTGAAACATAAATATAAAGTAAAATAGTTGAGTGTAAGTGTATTGTATGTCTATATGTATCGTGTGGGATATGACATCTAATTAGGATTGAAATGACATCTCAATTTACTAATATTTTTAATGTATCAGTTGTGTAAACTTAATGAATATATTTTTTAGCATGTAATATCTAATGACAATTATATATGTTTTCCTTTAAAAAAGAATAATGGGGTGGCCGTGGCATTCCTTTGTCACCCCTGTCTCCGCCACTGGACACAATCCCGAATCTCCTCTGCAGATCATCATAAAATCACTCGAATTTTCTCTACACGTCAAGTGAAAACTACCACACACTATTGTAGGTTGTCAGAGAGGATTTAACATGCCATCCTCTCCAGTTAACGTGATATCCCATATATGCGTGCTTTTACCGTTATATCCTTGCTTAAAATTATCGATTTCATAAAGTATGAGTAAATATCAGAAAATTTAAAATTTAACCGAAAATTTTGAAATTTCCGATAAAAAAAATATAATTTTTCATGAGTTTTTTTACCAGAAATTTCAAAATTACACTGAAGAATTTGAAATTTCTGATAATTATTAACTTTCAAATATGGTTGTGATTGTAATATCGGAAAATATGGCTATAATTGATTATAACAAATTTTGATTGAAAAAACTCAATTGCTGCATTATGAAAAACTAGTTAAAAAGTTATTTAAATACACAAATTTCAAATGTCACGTAAGCAAAACTAACTATGCTAATAAAACTCAGAACAAGATTCTGAACATGCAACTTCTCAGCTACGCTGAGCAAGGTTATGAAGCATGTAGCTTCTGGACAGTACAACTTCTGAAACAACAAGTTCTGAACATGAATTACTTCTAATAAATAATAGTGTTTTATTTAAATAGAGAAATAAATTAGAGTTAGGAGTTATTTGGAAATAATAAGCTATCAGCAGAGTCATAGAGAATCCTAGCAGAACAAGAAGTAGGAAAAGATAGAGATCTCATTACTGTAACTTGAAGTTTGCTGCGAATTAGAGGCAAGATGAGAGATTTTTCATCTATGGGTGTTTTAAGCATGAAGGATAGAGAGGGGTCCTTACCATCTTTTATATTTCTTCTTCCTTTTCCTCCATTGTTGTGTAAATTGGACCTTAAAGAGAGTTTGTGCAAAACTATTTGGATCATTATTGTTCGATTCAATTTCGTGCTTTGTGTTTATCGTTAGAAACTATGTGATTAGATGTGTGAAATTCATGATTTATGACTTTCTTGGATTTTGAATGAGCTTTGATGAATTGTGATAATGATAACATGTTAAATCAATGTTTTAATTGTTAAATCTATGTGCTTTGATGTGTTAAGTTCTATATGATTTGAGTACTATGAGTAGCTATGTATTTTGGGGATATTGGGATGCAAATGTTTGAGTTTTGGATATGTCTCAGTAAGAGAAAAACATAGAAAATTATAGGTAGACATAGAATGGGATTGACTGCTTTGTTTCGTGTGTAAATTGAGTTTCGTAAGTTCGTTTGAGGTGCAGTCATTTGCAATAGAAAGCTAACATGATAACATTTCTTTTAAAGTGGGAAAATTGGGTTTGGGAGCACTACAAGAGTAACATTTATTTGGTTTTTATAGCAAAAGCATAGTCAAATTTCCGTTCTGCGTTGGTTGTCTTGTTTTATGCATAACTTGGTTTTCGTAAGTTCTTTAAGCGTAAACTTTATATCCTAAGAAAATAGATAAAATTTCTTATATATTAGACTTAATAAGTATATCATTTCATTAAGTTTAATAGGAGAAATACTCATTACAAGTCTGATGAAATATTCTGTCTGGTGTCGATATCAGTTTCCACTGTTCAATTAAATTGTATCAATTGGGACCTTAAGCTCAAAAATCAAAATTATAGTTTGATAATAGACATTTTAAGCTTTCCAAAACATATTCATTTGATTGATACCAACTCTGTTTGATATTCTAAATAATTATTCAAATTTGATGTATGACTAGTAGAAAACATGATTTTGGTGTTGTTTTGATAAGATGCTATGTGAATTAAGTTGTTAATGTTTTAAGACACAAGTCCAATATTTTGATAATATATTTATATGAAATAAGATGTTATATGTTTAGAGTGTATTGAATTAAATGAGTTGAGTCAACTGATATTGTCACAATTGAGTTGAGGAGTAATTGAGCTAATGGTAGAATATGCCTGGTGACTCTTAACCTATGAGTAAAAGTTGTTAGAGTTAATTGTGAGCTCTACTGTGTTATGAGTATGCCTTGTTGAATATTGATGGTTGTTTGATATTGTTCTGACGTTGTTAGTGAGCATTGTCGAGAAACTATATAATTTAATTATTATGTTGAGTTAATGATGAAAAGTGTTGAGTTATGCTGAGATATTTGGTTCAAAGTGGAACCATTGTTGTGATCTTGTATTGGTGATGTTCATGCCGAGTTTTAGGTTTAGAGAGGAATCAGTGACGAGTATTGAAGTTGGAAGTTTGAGATGAGTATTGCATTTGTTTGTCGCATTCACGCATCATGTATATCAGAGACAGGTAGAACTTCGGTCCATTGACAAGTTTTAGGTTCAAAGAGGAACCATTGATAAGTTTCAGGTTCATAGGAGAACCAATGAAGAGTGGATTAATCAGTATGATACTTTTGCCATCCAAAACCTTGATACCACATGTATTGGAGTAGAGGAGATAAATATATTACATGCATAATTGTGTTTATGAATGATTATTATCGTGGATGAATTATATGATTGATTATCTATGCTAATTGTACTATCATTGTTGTCTTATGCACCGTTAATATATATGAATGTATTCTCATCCTTTGTTTATTTCTCTGTGTTGTCTTTATGCATGTGATGCAAATATTCAAGTAGTGAAGCTTTAGTTGTTTCTTGTGTTGGAGGATGACATAGTGGTCTTCTTCGTTATTTTTTTTAATTGTTTAGTTTCTACATGTTGCTCTATTAGTATAAAACTGGGATGTGAATATCGTTTGTTGTTTTATGTTTTATAAAACTGGGATGTGAATATCGTTTGTTGTTTTATGTTTTGCAAAGTTATTGAACTGTTTATTTTATGATTCAAAATGAAATTGATTTCTATTTTATGAGACAATTAAAATGAAGTTGTGTTTGAATAATCATTTCCACTACTATAATTGGTTTGAGAAAGATGTTATGCTTATAAAATGTGACTCTCTTTTTTGAGTAAGTTATTTTGTATAATTTTTATAAATTAATT